TTAATAATTAAAATAGTAATTTTTTCATGAATTTGAATTATCTTTCTAAAGTTATCACTAAATGGTAATTTTCACTTTTAAATTCACACTGCCACCTCACCACTCTCTCTTCTCCCAACCACCACCTCTTCCTAAAACATGAGGTTGCCAAATGCCCTCCTAAGAATAAGAAAAATATTGAGAGTGTAAAGAGATAATAATTTTTTAAAATTTTAAATGAATAGAACATAGGGTTGTTAACAAGTGTTATAATGGTATTAGGTAATAACACTTAAATTAATTATACATTGATTATGACATACACTCTTATAAAAAGTGTACAATTATTTCAACTTTGTAAATAAGTTCATAACAAAATCCTATAATTAAGGTTTCTTTTGGGGAGATAGCTTTAACTACTTTATTGTATAAAATCAATTTTTTAAAAAAATATATATTTTGTTTGATACATTTATGATTTTTTTTATATTTTTTTAATAAATTATTAAAATGACTAAAATTCAAAAATATATATTGTGGGGATATATTTTCTGAGTACCAACACGTGGCAAGGTGACGCTGACGTGTCAGCCGAGGTGCCACGTGTCCTGGTCAATAAAATCATTTTTTCTTAATCAATAAATTAATTTTTAAGTTATAATCAAATGGACGTGATGCTCAAAACTAATTATATAACAAAAATTTTATGAGTAAAATATATTTACTAATCTTTATTACGTGTATGAGTGAGATGAAAGATGAACAGAATAATATGTGTTATAATTTCTCAAGTGTATAATGTCAAGCAGGCAATAATATCACACATATTCCAAGTATATTTTTAAATTTCCGTAAAATGAAACCAATGTTTGATGTTGGACTGGAAATCCGCTTCTAAACAATTGGGAGTGTTTGGGAAGAAATTTTTTTTAGTTTTTTTGGTTAAAATAGCGTTAAAAGACAAACTACACTAAAATAGTTAATAAGACAAAATGTCACATCAAATTCATAATCATTTTATTTTTTCTTTCACAAATATCACATCTAACTATAAAAAAATTCAACTATTTTTTCAAACACAAAAAATCTAACCTTCTAAAATAATAAAAATTAAAATAATCCATAAAATAATAACTCTCCAAACACAATGTATGCAAATGGATATGAGAGGAGTAGTTGTAGCGTTCCGTATGCAAATGTGAGAGACTAAACGACAAATTAGAGTTTGTTGGCCTTGAGCTTGACTTTGTAGGTATTCGGCAAATCTAAAAAAGTTATATTTTTTAAATTTTAATTTTTAATGATTTTTTAAGTATTATGTTAAAAATTTATTTCTTTTCCATCCATCTTATATGGAATAATTTAAAAAGTAAAAGAAACAAAAAATAAAAATCTAAAAAGAAGTAAAAGGCAAAAATAAAAAAGTTGATTATTTTTTATTTTTTGTAATTTTTAATTTGTTTTGAATTTTTTTTATCTAGTCGAATATAATTCAAAAGTTTAATTTTTTTAATTTTAAAATAACTAAAATTAATTAAAGATGAAAAACAATTACAAAAAATTAAATTCCAAACACCTAATTTGAATTCTGAAAGATATTCTTTAGTTCTTTCAAGAAAAAAAAAATTTAGCCACAACCAAAAAAAAATTAAATTTTGATTGATCTAAAATATCAAACTTCATATTTAAAAAGTATATTAATATTATCTAAAAATATACATTTCACTGTTTTTTATTGACTAAAAAATATAAAAAATATATATATACATATCTTCCGCGCAGTCAAATAATATGGGAGCAAAGGAAAGGGTACAATGAACATTAAATGATATGCCATATGATTGGTTGATGGTCATAATCATCCGACAAAATTATTCAATTATGTTGACAAATAGGGTAAATTATACTTTCATAAGGGTGTAATGGGTTTGGTTTTGGTCCAGGTCCAGTCTATCATCGAATTGGATCGTATTGTTGGGTTTGTAGGGGTTTATCATATATCCCGTTTTAAAAATCTGAACTGTTTAATATGTAGAACTCGTCGAGTACTATATGCCTATAAAAAATCACGTTGATCAGATATCGATAGCTATGTGATTAAATTAATTTTGTATAAAAAAATAGACGGTGAATAAATTAACGGTTGACAAAAAACTGTTTTGATCACATAGCTATCGATATCCGATAAATGTAATTTTTTATAGACATATAGTACTCGACGAGTTTTACACATTAAACGGTTCAGATTTTCAAAATGGAACCCGTGGTGGGCCCTCATGAGCCCAACAACACAGTCCAATCCGATGGTGGACTGGACCAAAGCCAGACCCGGCCCATTCGAGCTTTGTGGGCTCGCAATTTTTTAGCGGGCCGGGCCGACCCATGGGCCAAACAGCCCAGGCCCAGACCCAGGCCCAGACCCAAACCCAAACCCAACCCAACCCCAACCCTAACCCCAAGCCCACTCCTAATAGGGCTGGGCCTAGTCGGGCTTTTTTTTTAATATTAGAAAAAAAATAAAAAAATAAATTATATTAGAGTATTTTAATTACGATTAATGAGATATTTTGTTTGGTTATGTAATGTTTTATAGTGATATTTAAATTTAGTTATACTTATGTTTTTTTAATTGTGAACTTATAACTAAAAAAGTATGCAATTATGTAAAAAAAAAATCGAAATAAATAATATATATATATGAAATTGAAACTTTCAATATTACAATATTAAATTATTCATATAACATTTATTGAATGAATAATTTTTATTTCAAAATGAAATAACATATTACAAAAATTGATATTATTAAATAAATTAGGTGTAGATTACTGATGATGGTATAACAATTGCATCACTATAGGTCAAGTACATCCCAACTAGGTTGGCACCTACTAGCCTACCAATCATTTACATTATACTCCACCTCAATAATCTAATACAAAAACAAAAAAAAAAAAAAACAAAAAACAAAACAAAAACAAAAACAAAATCTAAGAAAAAAACGAAATGAAATGAAATAGTAAAAAATAAATTGTTAATCAATCATTGGAGGAGACAAACATTTCAGTCGCGTTGCCCGATGATATGTCATCCAAATCATATTGAATTCGCTATTTTTCACTAAAATTTTGTCTTCTTGTAAACACGTGCATATGATCCCTGGATATTATCAATGCCTTAACCATTTCGAGTGAAAGATTGCTCCTGTAGTCAATCAGCACCCGTCCACCTACACTAAAAGCTGTTTCTGAAGCAACTGTAGAAATAGGAACGGTTAGTATATCACGGGCCATCTGTGAAAGCATAGGCCACATAGATTCATTTTGTTTCCACCATTCCAAAATGTTAACATTATCGGAATCATCCACTGACGGGCTTTCCAAATAACGTTGTAGTTCAGAACTACTTACACTTGTATGTTGAGATATTCTTCTACTTTTTATTGCTGTGAATCTCCCACCTCAAGATTGGACTGCTAGTGTAGTGTGTGTTGGTATATTTACATATGCAGATACAGCTGTAGCTGCAGTTGCCCTGTATTCTTGAAATAATTTGTTGCATGTTTGCATAATAGGGGCAAACTGTATTTGATTAGTGAAAATACGCTCTAAAAATTCTTGTTAACCAACCTCTTTACACCTAGGATCAATTATTATAGCTAAACCTAATAGATGAGGCAAATGATGAAAATATTTATCATTTTTTTCTTTCATTGAAGTAATAATGGTTACATAAAGTTCATTACCCATATATTTTATGAAAACTTTAATTATTTCTGTTAGCATATATAAAACATATGGTGAAGTAGGAATATATATATATATAAGAAAATAATTTTGTTAAAGAATCGAAAACTTTTAAAAAATCTTTATACAAGGCTACTTAGGGCCAATTAAGTTCAGTGGGTGTCAGTGCTACTCCTATTGATGTTGTTGCAAAAAATAAATCTATTGCTCTTTTTTGTTTACAAGCTATTTTTAACATATTATATGTTGAATTCCACCTACTATCTACATCTAAAATTAATTTTTTAAATAACATATTTTCTCGTTGACAAATTTTTCTATATTCTGAAACTCGATTACCAGAAGACATAATAGTAACAACTGCATTTTTTATTGCAAGTACAGAAGTTTCGTATACATGCATAACTTCTTTAACAATCAAATTTAAAATATGGGCACAACAACGAACATGAAATACATCACCATCAACAAGTAATTGTAAAGTTGATTTTAAATGGGCTACAGTTTGATTATAATATGATGCATTATCTAAACTAATCGTAAATATTTTATTTTGTAAAACTCACTCATATAATACATTTCTTATTTGTACACAAAGCAAATGACCAGTGTATGGAAGTTCAACTAATTTAAATGAAATAATTCTTTTATTTAATTTCCAATCATTATCAATAAAATGCGCAGTGATACATTGATATTCAAAACCATTATTTGATCACAGATCAGATGTTAAACGAACTCTTCCATTCAAAATTTTAAAGATAACAAATAATTCACTTTTAATATCCTCAAATTTCTTTAAAATCCTGTTTCTAGTAATATTTCTTGAAAACTTTGATATTGCGGTGCAAAACTGTGACGACCCCAAAATCTAGATCTAAAATTCCTTTTGTGTCCTCGTGGGTTAATACATTTTAATTTAACGATATCTGTTCGAATTAAGGAATTATCTGTTGAGTCGTAGCTTTAAAATTGAAATTACCGACCTTTATGGGTTCAGAAATCGAAATTGAGTGCTTGGTTATGCTAATGAAAATTTTTAGAATTAATTGGGAAAATTAATTGAAAATCTAATTCGTCTGATTCGTTAATGCACGTTTGAGTGGTTAATTTTGTACTGCAAATTGAAATTCTTAGAGGCTTCAGAAACCAGAATAGAGGGCATATTCATGATCAGTGTAATTTTTAGAGTCATTTGAAAAGTTTAATTGAAATTTAATTTCGAACGATTCGTAAGGCCATGTTTGGCTCTCCCTTGTGTTAATCTTGTGTGTGTGTGTATATTTATATACATGGATGCCTTAGGAGTTGTTGAACTCATCTATTTTGAACCAAAAATATCTAGAGAAAGGGGGAAGACCCGTGAGAGAGAGAGAGAGAGTTCTTGAGGGAACTCAAAGAGGGAGGAGGGAAGGCTTGGAGATTGAAGAGCTTTAAGGGGGGAATTCAAGGATTTGGGTTAAGGTATGTGGTTTTAACTATTATCTTTGTAAATAATTCAATTACTACATGAAATCAAGGATTAATTTGGAAGTTTAAAATGTAAATGAACTAGTGTTTTGGGATTTTGGGTGAAATGGGTTGAATTCATGGAAATGAACTTTGCTTTCCTTAAATTTGTTTAAATTGGGTCCAATCTTAACAATGATTTGTGGAATAACAAGTTTTGGTGTGAAAATCAACCATAGGTAAGATATATTCTTATGATTTGAGAGCATGTATTTTGGAAGTTTGATTAGATAGAAAGATGAGTCTTGGATTTTTAATTTGAGACATAGATTGTTTTATTTGAGAGGAGATTGTACTTGGTTGATTCTAGTTTATCATGTTAGTAGGAAATTGTACATGTTTTTGAGTGAATTATGTTTAGAACTAAGTTTAAGAATGGAAAGAATCAAGTGTTGGAGCAAAAGACCCATTTTCGGACTGATGTTTTTGCCCAGACCGCACGAGCGGCCACGGGCACCGCATGAGCGGACATGAAGAAGAAAAAGGGATTTTCATTCTGTTTTTGGGCGCTCGAGCGGCCGGATTCTTCCGCTCGAGCGGAATTGGGCCGCACAAGCGGCCAACCCTATTTCAGCATAGACCAGGTAACTTTGAATAGGCATATCTTTTGCATCCGAACTCCGTTTTGAGTGATTCTTGAGCCTAAAATCAAGCCCCGGAAGTCTAGTTTCCAATGGTGGTAGTCTCACTCCAAAATTTTAAATACAGAAATAGTTATGCCCAAATTAGTGACGACTGTTCACTTTCTGGTTACCGATTTGTACCGTTTCTTCGTCTGAACCTTTCTCCTATCGATTCCTTCTATCTTATGAGGCATGGATTATAACCTATGGAGGACTAATGAGTCTAGAACCACCATAGCTATTGAGTGAAGAATAAAAAGAGATTGGTTTTATTCTCATAATCTGTTATATGCATTGTGTTCGTAGGTCAAGATGAGGACATCGTTCCACCGCTATCAGAGACCTACCGCTGTGAGTAATAGTACTGTAATCGCACATTTGATTACCGTTAATAATTCTTTTTATTAACGCTCTGTGCTTCAGATGTAGTTATGTTAATATTATGTTGATTGGGAAACAGTGTGGACATGGAAAGATTTTTGTGAACATTGGTATGACTCGGAACCTACGCTGTATTCTGGCTATGGCTAATGGTTATTGTGAATGTACCATCCTATGAATTACTCATGATTCTGCATAAGAATTGCATACAAACTATTAACACTGTGAAGTTGGTTAATAGAAAGGAATTGAGTATCAATAGCATTGTTACGTGATTCATGTTACGATATGAATTGTTCTGACCTATTGATGTAATGTTATCTTTACCTTCGGACTATTGTTAATATTAATGTTCTGCTAATTACGAGACAAGTATGTCAACCTACAAAGAACCATGAGAAAATCTAAGTGCATCGTTGGATCATACGTTTTGTTTACTGTTGATAGTTAATGTTGGCATTCCATTATCTGCAAGTTAGTGGTATTGGTTCATGACAAGCAAATGGGATGTATGTGCATTATGAAACTATGGTATCTACGTATCTCTGGAATGTGGTTCCCTTTTGCTAACAATTATCAGCAACGTTCTGTTAAACTTATATTACCAATGGTAACTCATGTGAATAATGGGAAGAATGTATGTACTTTCTGTATGATTTTGAAGTTAATCTGTTCTGATGATTTCTGGTATGGAACAAAGTGTTGTACGGAACTAAGTGCTACACTTTGGTGGGAGCTACCTCTAGAATTCGTACGAGCCACCTCTTGAGTCCATTCATAGTTATTTCTGGGCCGATAGGCCGTTCTGTTATTTCTGGGCTGATAGGCCGTTCTGTTATCTCTGGACCGCTAGGCCATTTTGTTATTTCTGGGCCGATAGGCCGTTCTGTTATTTCTGGGCCGATGGTCGTTCTGTCTATTACTGGGCTTAAAGCCACTCTGTTAAGGAAATTGGGCCCATGGCCGTTCTAGAAATGACTACAGAATGTAATTAATCATATGCCTGCACAGTTATATGCTTTGTTATTTAAGTTAACCATTACATTACTTATGTGCTATTATTCACTGAGTTTTACTCACTCTGTATTTTGTCTATTTCTGTAGGTAACCAACTGGAAAGCCAGTCCTAACTAGGGGTGCAACTTGGGCGAGCTCAACCCAAGCAACTCGAGCCCAGCCAGGAATTTTTTAGGGCTTGGACAAAATATTTTCAAATTCGGTATAGGCTTGGGCAAAAATTTAGAAGCCCGAATTAAATTTGGACGGGCTTGGGCAAAGACGTCGAACAACCCGAGCAACCCGAAGCCTGAATTATACATATATAGATATATAAAAATATTAAATATACATATAAATTATTAGTCATTATATGATATTAAAGTAATTTATATTATTAAATCATATTGAATATATATTATATATACAAATAACATAAAATCTTACTTTTTTTTCTTTTTATTTTCATTCATAATTGTAAGGATTACTATTGTGGCACCTCTCTTACATTATATAAATTATTTATTTTGATGGTATTAATGATTTTCTATTAAAAAAATTTAAAATAAAGTCAAATTTTAATAATTTAATAATATAGCTGCAAAAAAAAAAAAATTGAAATTCATTTACAATTCGGCCAATTCGGGCAACTCGGGTAATTCGGGTTTAACTCGGGTCGGGCTTGGGCAGACAATCTCGGGTTACAATTCGGGCTTGGGCAGGTCTCAGCACAACTTGGGTTGGGCTTGGACAACCTCCCAACCCGACCGAACCCGCCCAAGTTGCACCCCTAGTCCTAACCCTTGAGACTTGTCTATCTCTTGTCAACCTCAGTGTGTCCAGGCACTTAAGATGGAACCCGTGCATTTTGTAAAACTTTAACTAGGTTTTCGGTTTATGCTTTGATTGTCTGCCTATGGTTGAATGTAAATAACCCCTTTCTTCTTTAGTACTTTTTTTGAGCTACAACCTGGAACTACCCCAATATCCATGGCCCCGTATCGCATGGCACCCGCAGAACTATGAGAATTAAAGACACAACTACAGGAGTTGCTTGAGAAAGGATTCATTAGGCCAAGTACTTCACCATGGGGAGCACCTGTGTTGTTTGCTAAAAAGAAGGATGCGTCGTTAAGGCTATGCGTCGATTACCGTCAACTCAATTGAGTCACGATTAAGAATCGATACCCACTCCCAAGGATTGATGACTTTTTTGACCAACTTAGAGGCTCAAGGTGCTATTCAAAGATCAATCTTAGGTCAACTACGAGTCAAGGAGGAGGATATACCAAAAACTGCCTTTCGTATTAGATATGGCCACTATGAGTTTGTAGTAATG